CTTCTTGTTGAACATAGTAACTTTTAATATTAAATCTAAGAACTTAAATCTTGATATTCCCATTTGATCTTACAAGTTCTTATTTCTTCTATCTATGTTCTTCTTCTTTTAAATCAATCTCACGATAACTCCTTTTTTTTCTTAACCAAACTATACAAGATAATCACATTAAGTATAGTAATTAGGCATAAGATAAACATTTGGTGCCAACTTTTTGCTATAATATTTGATATCATCAAAACTAATCATGTCTAATAATGGTAATTAAGCTTTCCGGCTACTTAATTAGGTTAGAAAAGTTACAATTTTAGAGCGAGTTAGGGTTCCTAGGATATCTAAACACCAAACTTTTGCATCTTCAGTTTTATATTTTATTAATGAATTGAAATTGTGAATTTTCTCATGTCTTCTAAGCGGCTTGTGCTATGTGTCATATATACATGTAAGTAGCATGAGATTTTTTTTTTTTGGTTAGCTTTTGTATATTGAATATTTGGGTATTTTGCTATAGCAATTTACATCTAAACTACTTGTGCAAATGCGCATGATGAGAGTAAAAGCTGAAAGAAAAAAGGGAAATACGCATGTCACTTTCATACTTATTATAAGTCATTGGCAATATATTCTTGCATACTAAAGAATACATTAAATTAACAAAAATTTTCAATTTTATCCTCATTAAAAAGTTTTTTCTTTCTCTCTACGTTTACCAATCATCCTTATACTTTTTTCCTTCTTTCTCTCTTTTCAATAAAAACTAAATAAGAATAAAATAAAAAAAATTAAATATACTACAAGTGACTTATATTTTTCTTATAAACTGAATACTAGCTACAAATACTCGAGTGACTGAAGTCCTTTTTTTGAGTTTTTTGTTTATTTATTTAAAAGCAGTAAATCTACTCACAAGGAGTATAGTAGGAAATAGATTTTTGTGAAAATCAATCAGATGACGTTGAATGTAACACCTCCTTTATTATCATATTATACGTTAATTGGAACCATTATAACGCATTTCCTAGCATTTCTGAGCAAAAAAATTTCAGTTTCAAAATTTCACATTTAATTCTGTCCGTATATTGTTTTTATGAATTCGGGCCAACTTTGAAAATTCATAACTAGTTCTAGAAAGATCGAAATGAAGTGGCTCCAACTTTCACGTGAAGCTTGCTAAGAGTTCTATAGAAAAAAATATTCATTGGACTCAATTCCATCTAGAACAGCACCAAAAAATTCGACAAGGTGCACTGTTCATATGGTCAATTTTTTAATTTTTAGGATTTTAACCTAATTTTAGAAGGGCATAACTCTTAACACAAAACTCCAAATTTGATGGTTTAGCCCTTGCTTTAAAGCTAAAAGTGAGATCTATTGGCCTGTAAAATCTTAGGTCCAAATTCTATCATGTGCTTATTATTTTATATGTCACCATTTTGCCTCTAATTTTAGGTAATTTTATCCCCTAGTCACTTCTTTCTTGAATTTTATATTCCTTTTTCCTTTTCCATACCCTTAGGCATTCTACCACTCAATATTTCAACACTTGGGAATGTCATACCAATATAATTTATAACATATTACTATTCATAATCCATTACAAACTTGGCATAAAGTTTAGTAATACATCACATGACATTTCAAAATAATATAATGATCATCAAACTTCTTTATCCCAATACCAACTCCTTGCCTTGATCCATGGATAGCCACTTCCTAAATGATAAATAAATTGACATAGGGAAAAATGAGATTTCATAGAAATCTCAGTAGCATTTGAATTACAATTATCATGCAAATCAAGCAAGTTACAATGTGACATGTGATAAAACTTCAAGACATCTTTAAGTCACATGAAATCATATCCAACAATATGCTAGAAAAGGAATATTAACACTTCCAGACTAACACAATTCAATGCATTTGACCAAAGTATAAATCAAGGGTATCTAACCAACTAAGATTACAACACAAGTTCCTCAATCCAAGCAAACAATACATCACCTTAAACAAGCAAGATAAACAATCAAATTATAATTCAAACCTACCTTTTATCACTTGTCCAACTTGGTCACCTCAAGGAACAATGATCCTTCTTGATTCCTCCTCACAAAACCTATTAAATCAAGTATAAACATAGGCTACATTAATAGCCAAACCATTTAAACACAACACTTTATCTTTAACTTAACAATTTCCCGTTTTTCCTTAGATTTTTAACAAAATAATTCCTCCTTTAGAATCAATAACCTCATGACTCATCCTCCCACAATTTTTCATGATGAATCCAAATATAAAATCAGATTTTTAAATATCAAACTTCTTCCCCATGAAATCATGTTGGTCGAATAGGCGGTACATACTTCCAAAAATTTCATTTTTGATTCTAATGATTTTAAGCACTTCCCAATAATATATCCCTATACAAAAGCATGTTTTAAACCCATTGGAATGATCAAATCAAGCTAAAACAAACTGCTGCCCCATGTACTATTGTTGGCCGAATTGAACCCCTAGAACCTTAGGTGGATTTTCTTCCAGAATCAATTCATACACCACTTATAAATACTTATTCCATTTGATATTTAAAGTCTCTATCTTTCCCTAACATCACATTATCCATCAAAATTTTGGGCAGCATGTACACTTAAATTTTCAACTCAAAACCCTAATTAAATTAGTGTAAAACTTAGGGATAAGGAGGCTTAATCATACCTTGATGTTTTTCTAGTATAAAATGAATGATTCCTTGCTCAAAACCTCCACAAATTCAGTCTCCTGTCAAAAATGAAAATGGTAGCACCTCCCCTCTTTTTTCCAATTTTTCCAACATTTTTTTGTATTTTAGGAGGGGGTATTAATAGAAAATATAATTTGTCATTCCCCTCTCAATTTGGACATCCAAGGTGGCAGGAAATGAAGTGTGTTGGCAGTCATCAAGTGTCTCATAGCTTCAGATTTAACCATGTGTCTCAACTCTAGAATTTTCTAACATTTATCCCTTAATTTTCCATTTTATTGTGCTCAATATGGGCCCCACAAATGGTTTGAACTAGTTCAAAAAGATGGCCCATAATCCAAATCAAAATCCCAAACCAATTCGAAACTTTATCAGTTACTATTCACTAGTAACATTTCATAATTTTTCCAGACTTCCGAAAATTCATTTCTCTCCATGATAATTCACCTTTTAATATGAGAATATAATCTCAAAATTTTCAGAATTTTTTTTGCCACCTCTAAGTATTTATTTTGAATTTTCTCCGATTAGGCCTATGTCAGTGTCACTGTAAAAAAAAAAATTTCCTAAAATTAATTCCTAAGCTTCTAAGACCTAGAACTAATTTTATAAATTCAGAAAAATATTTATATGGTTTTTCCATAATTTTTCCACAATTATTGAGGCCTTTAACTAATTAAAATAATTATTTTTCTCAGATTTTGCAATATTTTCTCTAAAAACCTCCGTTTACGGGAAATTCCATAACCATTTACTTTCATAATAATTCCACTTTTCGAGTCTCAACCAAGTTTCTAAAACTTTTAATTTATACTTTTCCCATTTTTTCAAGAATTTTCTAGAATTTTTCTCTAAATTTTCCATTTTGCCCTTCCTAGGCCGATAATTACAAAAATGCAAACCCGGATCTTATTGGGGTTTGACTTCAAAAGTTAGTTCATCTCCCCGTCTAATTTCTACATTGGTCCTTATCCCAATTTTTGATTCCCTATGTCCATGTAAAATTTCTCAGGATGTGACATTGAACTACTAAAAACATTTACTCTACCGGGTTTGGTTTGAATGACACCCATTTGCAATCTTTCGTTATTAGTGGACACACTAATCCAAAAGTTTGTTCTTCAAATTTTGGACATACAGGGTAGTGATTTCATTTCAAAAAATATGTGCTTCATCACAAACTTTCTCAACTATTAAACTGCCATTAGAGAAAATTTCTCAAGAATTAAAAACAGTTGGACTAAGAATACACTTTTGTTAAAAAAAAAAAAGTTTTTAAAAGTAATAGGCAAATAAACCATTGAAGCTCTAAGCTCATGATAATCACTTTCATAACAAAACTCCAAATACATCATACTCACAGAAAAACAAGGTTTCGTTAGAGGTCAACACCAATAATGGCTGAAAAAGTTCATGCCACATTCAATTCTTAATATAAGAGTCAGTTTGACTTTCAATTTATCCATAAATACAATACTCCAATTCATTTTGTCTCTCATATTTATTTATTTTTTAAGATAGTTCTTTTAATAGTTGCACATGTTATATATTTCATCAAATGACATTTGATTAGTGAGAATATTTTAGAAAAAATAACACCTATTTATTATAAATAACTAACTTAACTAATTTTCTTAAACTATTCAAATTAGTCAACTAGTTCTTATAGTAAAGACTAAAGATAATATTTGTTTGCAAGTACTTTCATAGTTTTTTCTTGTTTGTCATTTATTCATGCAATGTTTTTCTTCCCTCATGAAATTTTTTTGGTTAAGAAGGAGTTAGACCAAAAAAGAAAGCCCCGTACAGCTTTCATGACAAAATATAAGATTTTGGTTATGGGGTCAGCATTAATAAGACAACCAAAAAGCCCTTATTTGTTTACAAGGGCATCTAGTTTATTCCTCTTTATACTTCATCTATATATTTATCTTAATATGAAAAAAGATAGAGCTTGAAGAAAAACATAAAGCATTGAAATTGCTAGGGTATAAGATGTGAAACATCAAGACAAGCTAAGGTGCATAAACTTCAAATTGCCGACCGAAGTGAGTATAATGTCAAAGTAATGATGCTTCCTTTTATAACGAGAGATAGATTTCAACTAAAATAGATTACCAAAAAAAAGCATAGGATCTTGATACCTTGAAAAGCTAAATTCATCCCAGCAAGCTGGTTCTGAGATTTGGATGAGTAACAGTAGGTATGAGTTATGCAGAAGCTCACATGTTGCCTGAGACATCAACTACTAAAAACCAATTCATTCTAAGACATAAACTGATAACAACTAACCTTATCTTGCAATAAATGACACAAAACATCCTAAATAATTGACATAAAACATAATTTAGATAGCCTAAACATGTAAGTGTAGTGCCTTTTCTTGGAATACACCAGCAAAGGTTGCTGAACCTATCAAAATGATCTAGAGATGGCCCAAACGCATTTGGTCAAGCAATATTGCCACTTACAGGTATAACTCTTGGTACCCCAATAGGTTCTCCAATCAGATCACATCTATCAAGGACCATATTCAGCTCAATAATGATGATAATCTTGCAACTTTGGCCAACTTTGTAAATAAACTCAGTCAACTTAACAATAGACCCCTTTTGCAATCTCCCAACATGGACCAACTTGTTGTTCTGAGTAGCAAGCATCCCTTATTGATAATGGGAACCATCTGATAGCAAAAGCTTATACCTTTCTGTGTTGTTATGCTCTTGTAACTGCACCAACTTCAAGTCAATCACTTGAAGTATAGGCTTTAGGTCCTCGCAAGAGTAATAGTCACTCATCATCCTCCTTATCGCTCCATTGGTGAGATTTGCAGCCATTAGAAAGTCAGAACTGGGCTGCTTCATTGGAATGGCAAGTGCATGGTTAAGGCTCAACATCCCTCTTGATATCTCAGCCAAGAAAGTCTTCATCTCAACCAGGTGAGTCTCAAAATGGTCCATACGTGTTGTATATTCATAGTCTTTATGATTGCCCAACTCTGTTAAGCTTCTAATTTCATCGAAAAGGTCTTTTAATTTAGTGTCTTCTGCCATCAGACTCTCGGTAAAAGCACCTATGTAAAAAACACCCTTAATAATATAGTAAAAATAGATAGAAAATACTAAGGATTAAACGGATAAAGAAGCTAACTGCAATTCTCCATTGAAATTCATATGGTAGATACACACACACACACACACATCTTTGTAGCGTATATATCTATCACAAGTTCGCCCATTCCTTTCCCAAACCATATTTCCTCTTGGCTGATAATAAAATCCTGCATCATGATAGCCAACTCTTAAATAAAGAAATGAGGTATGTTTTTCTCATATTTCTATCACAAAAATCTAGTGCCCAGTAGATAATTATTTCATCTATTAAACTCCGAAAAACAAAAAAGAGATCAATGGTGCGTCAAACTCACCTTAATCGCAAACACATCAAAGAATGGAAAAGGCGAGAGTGACACCTTCCTACACAGTAACAACAATCTGGAACAAGAGTGATTATAGGATAACACTTAGGAACAAAACTTCACTAATAAACATCGGAAGTATCAATGAATTATAACCCAATAGTTATCAAATCGCGATAACAGAGTGCTCTTAACAGTAGCTAACAAATAACATTAACATAATGTATACTAGCCGAGTAAGTGATGAGAAAAAAACACAATTGTATTCAAGCCTATGAGTTATAGATAGAGAATATATTTTCTCACTGCCCGTGAGAATTTTTAAGAAAACAAAACAAGCATATGACAGAAGTTAAATAGTACAAGAAATACCAAAATTATTAACAACCCTCAATGCAAGGGTAAAAGCCACGGGTCATCTAGACCAAAGAAAATCATAACTTCACTATGATCAAAACAGAGTATCAGAGAGTCTCAATCAGATACATAAAGAAGTACAAACAACTAGCTAAACAACCAAAACTACAAGCTTACAAAAGAAAATGAATAGCTGAAAAAGAAAACCCGAACCAGATGCTGTAGGACAAACTCAATCTCTCTCACACTGGGCATCAGATCAATGATCCGACCGTTGCAAATAACACACTAGATGTTGTGAATTAAAATAGTTTTCTCTCTTCTTTTCTCCCTAAATGGTTGCTATTCTGCCTTAAAATAAGACCTCGCCCATAACCCTAATCTGCTCCTTCTCCACCTTAATAAGTCAGACTCAAATGACCTTGAAATATTGGGTCTTTTTCCACAAAGGAAGGGAGTCCAAACCCAACAGTAAGATAGATTCAGATAGAAGAAGAGGAGTCTTTAGGGGGAAAAAAAAAGCAAAGACGCATCATGAACGAATAACAAACACAAACATGGGACGGAGAAGGACCTAAGTTGCAAACAGAGTGGAAGACGGCCAAACTAGAGAGAGGAGAAGATATATAATATTGAAATCGAGTCAAGGCTTATTGAAAAGTGGATGCTCAGGATGTGTTTTTAGAAAGCTGCTGATGATGTGGTGGGATAGGATGCATCAAGCCATCAACAATATTATTATTTAAAAGTACTTGTTTGGTAAATAAAAGTTTTTATGCATAGTTTGGATAAATAAAAATTATTATCGTGTTTTATAATTCTTGTATTCTTTTAAAAACTTAGTGGGCTTGCTGTTGTATTATATAGAATGGATTTAAGTATGCCAGTTGAACAATTTACAGAGTTGTTTAATTTTGAGCATTAATTTTATGGAACAACACAAGGAGAAATTGTGCCTTTAAACTTTGAGAAAATTGTATCAAAAAAACAATGCCAAAAAAAAATTGTAAATAGGGATCCATAACAATATATTAATATAGGTTTTGACAGCAATTTTGTGAACGAGTCTCTGTGTGTAATTTTTCTATTTCACTAATTTTCTTTTGTGATTTTCTCTTAAACTTTCACAATTACTCTGTAACTTGTGGGCTAAGCTATGCATTGTTGTTTTGTTTCTTTCCTTTAATGGTTTTCATCAATCAAGCTTGCTGATCAGAATTTAACAAAAAAAAAACCAAAAAGAAAGAGATGCAAGACAGTTTTGAAAATTAATGAGAAGAATTGTCAATTACCCCTCTGATCTTATTTATAAGTCACTTCCAGTATGTTTCATACAAATCAAGAAAAACATCAAATTTCATTAACTCTCATTTAAAATTTAACAACTTTTTAACTTTATTTCTATTTAACATATAGTATACCTCATATAAAAAGTTAACACAATAATAAATTATAGGTAAAATTTTACATCCATACAAAAAAAATTTTATATTCTAAAAAATCTCTCTGCCCTATAAATATATTCTAAAAAATCTCTCTATCCTATAAATAGGACCAGGGGAGTATTTCATTTCAGGCAACTATTACTTTAGGCAATTATTTTCATTTAGTTCTAAATCTTTATCATTTATTGTAATCACATTTAATTATATTTAATTTTAAAATATTATGCCTTTTAATTATTAGGATTAGGTTGAGGGCTATGAATAATATCAAGATCCTAATATTAGCAGTGAGATTTGAATTCATAATTTTATTAATGGGTTATGGGTCAACTATTTACTAACTTGATCAACTTCGTTGGGAGTACAGTGTATTAATACATTGGAAAATTATATGTTTCACATCCTGACAAAACCCGCCGTGGCTATTGAGAGCTAACGACACGAACGCTATGTTTGGTACGGGGTTTTTGGAGGGGAGGGGAGGGAAGTTGCTCCCCTCCCCTTGTTTGGCCGGTATAATTTTTTAGGAGGGGAGGGGAGCTCTTCCCCTCCCCTCGTTTGGTTAAGATGTTTTTTAAAGAGGGGAGGGGTTCTTCTCCCCTCCCCTCCCCTTCTAGCCTCCCCTCCAAAAGTGGGGTTTTTTGGAGGGGAGATGAGAGATGATATTTTAATTCCTTATATGCCCTTTCGATTTGTTAACTTCTAATCAGTCATAAACATTTCTACATAAGAGAGTTCTTTTGAGCATCTAATAAGAGGTTATTAAGATAATTATTTCCAAAATTATTGAGCATTTGTAAACTTTTTTTCTCTTCTTCTAATTCTAAGAGGCCGTTGATATTTTCTTTCACCTTCAAAGTCTTTTCTATGATTGAAATCTATCACTTGTGACTTTTTGTCTTGATATTCTATAAGTGTATGACTGTATCTTGTAAATCAAAATTAGTGAATTGTATTATATATATATAGTTATATCTTAACAAAATAAAAAGTGAGAAAATTCATTTAAATTTTATGAGGCTAAAATAGTCAATTTTTTTATTAGAACAAAATAAGGTATTATTAAAATTGCTCCCTCCCCTCCCCTCCAATCAATCCAAACAGGAGATCATTAAAATCCCTCCCTCCCTTCCCCCTCCCTCCCCTCCCCTTTGTAGCTACCCTCCCCTTCCCTTGATTAAAATCCCTCCCCTCCCCTTCCCTCCGTCGAGCCAAACATAGCGGAAATTTCATCGCAAGTTTTAGCAAAATCTGACATGTCCTTTTAACCCCCATGAACTTGGTGCGAAATTTCCTTCCTTTTTTTTTTTTTAAAATAATTAAACTTGGTGCGAAATTTCAAACACGAGATGTTTGATGAAAGAATTATGCAATGTCATCTGCAGATCATTGGACAAACTTCTAGAGATGATTTTACATGTCATCTTGCATAGCTTGATTGATTTTGTTAGATTTTGAATCGGGTATGCTTTTGATGGGTCAGATTATTTGATTAGCAAATTAGAAAAAATCTTAATTAAATAATATTATCAAATAAGATTATATTTCGATTCACTGAGCCAATTAATTGGAATAATCACTAATTAAATATACTATAAATTAAATAAGTGATTTAATTTATTTTATTCAGATAATCTATGGAAATGCATATGATTATAATATTTATGAATTAAATCAAGAATTTAATCCAAAATAAATTGAAATAGAAGATATATGATAAAAATTTAAATCAGCTTTGAATTCAAATCATTATCTTAGATTGAGATAAAAAGATATTAAGAATATATCTGAATTAGTAGATATTGTGGACATTTAACCTTCTCAAAATGTCCCTGCTGTTAAGCTCTAAATAGACACTCTCATGTAAGCACTTCTAGTTTATATTTATATTTTCAACAAATTTGAGGGATGTGATTACGTGGTTTCTAACTTAAGTTCTCATTGCTTAATGCTACTATAAAAAATAATTTTGATTTCTTGCGGAAAGTGGACACATTGATGACGAATTGTTTAGGTCTTTTCTGCAACAAAATAACTGGTTATAATATTGTTAACAAGAAAATGACCTAAATATTTTAACTAAACTTTTTGGGTAAAAATTTCAGTCCCACACATGGAGATTAACTACCACTTTAATTTTCGTGGAGATTGGCGTCATCTTATCATAGTTGCGGAATAAAAATTATTGCCGTGGTGGAGGCAACATTTTCATTTAGTTCTTTATTTAATTATCATCACTAAATTTCTTTTTCATAATATAATAAATATGAAAAAATAATTCTCTTCAATGAAGCCATTTTTCTTGGCAAAACAAATTATTCTACCTTAATGTTATATTAACTTAAAAATATACCAAATAATTCCTTGAAAACCTTTTACTAGTATCAATATCGTATAATTGTAAAATCCAGACCTCGCAATGCCCAAAATAAATATCTAGAAAAAAGGCACATAGATATCTCCGTACATATCATTAACATTCCTAGAATCAACTTACAATTTTTTCTTGAATACGTTTACAATAACTAAGCAAGTAACGAAAAAGAAGGGATTAAAAAAATAAAAATCTAATTCACTTTTTTCTACTACAAAAAAATATTCATAATATTAGGGATACAAATTCACTGAATTCTTGTGAGGCATCCTCTTTATCCTCAGCATATGCATTTTAAGGATGATCACAAACCCGAGTTATAAACCTGCACAAATCCCTTTTTGAATATCATGGAACACCTCTTTCTTACAAATCATTAATCATCATATGATTATCATTTGGTCCAATCAAACAATCCCACGCGGTCCAATGAAAAATTCCACATGAAGGCAGCTTCAAGGTTAACACGCGATCAGGAATAGGGCCAGCATCACAGTGAACTCTTCGTATGTGCAATTTCATAGAAATTAAAGCGACACGATCCAAACAAAAAGGTTCAACGCAAATTGGCCAGGAAAATAGATTGTTATAAAGAGACCAGAACGGCAAGGAAGCTTTACAATGCCGAGGAAACAACTATCCCTTTCAATGTTCAAGCTGTAAACTGATAGAACTGATTATGCCTAAACAAAGTGCTTAATCCTCCCCAATCTGACGTGGCAGTCACTTTATGTTCCCACCGTAACAAAAAATATCACAATACCAATTATATGTCGGCCGCAAGGAAGTTACCGGTCAGTGTAACCTGCATAAAATTAATTCATGATGCAAAATCTGAAATAAGATAGAACCGTCCTTCTAACATTAGGATCTGTGATTTTTTCTATTCTCTGTTTTCTTAGTGAAAACCTTCTTCCCTACTAAGACAAATTCACTAAAATTCACAGGAGAGGATCCATGGTCAACCCAAAGAAATGACACAATAAATTCCCAGAGGGTTGGAGAGTTACAAGAGTACCTTTTCACCCAATTTGAATGGAGGAAGGCCCTTGTAAGGGCAGATGCTGCGCCTGAAAGCATCTCCTAAACCACACTGCAGGTTAGAGAAAACTGTAAGCGCAATGGTGACCATGAAAAACATCAAAGGAAGATTATTGATTTGAATGTGACACATGAAGGATGAATTATTCCCACAATTCGTATCATGGAGTTTGTCCATTAATTGCAAGTCCAAATTGTATATTCCCCAATAATAAACAGATCAGAAAATCAGCTAACCTTGGATAATATGTTGCAACAACAGGCAGGCAAAGATTAATGATACATCATGCATTCCATCATTGTTACAAGGACTTGCAATCTCTAATTCCTTATTGCAGAACCCCACACACACACACACACACCCCTGAAAAAACAAAAATTACTTCATTTTAACCATCCTAGGCTCCTGTAGATCATCTGCACTAAAGCTCTGTGACAGGAATTTTCAAAATACCAAATAACTAGTCAGACTCAGAACTGAATTTATTCATCTCATACTCCTAAACAACACAGAACTAAAAATTAGCGGTTTTTGTAACAGCAGAGAAAACAGACACCCCAAATTCCAATTGAAGGTAACATACGCTGAAACAGAATACTTTCCAAAAAAAGACATACATTGCCACAAGCTGATTGAGGATTATTGATCTGTTCTGCACTCAATCCTAACTTCAATACT